ACCTGGAGAACACCCAAACACACCTGGAGAACATGCACACACACCTGCAGAACATGCAAACACACCTGGAGAACATGCACACACACCTGGAGAACACCCAAACACACCTGGAGAACATGCACACACACCTGGAGAACACCCAAACACACCTGGAGAACATGCACACACACCTGGAGAACATGCACACACACCTGGAGAACACCCAAACACACCTGGAGAACATGCACACACACCTGGAGAACATGCACACACACCTGGAGAACACCCAAACACACCTGGAGAATACCCAAACACACCTGGAGAACATGCACACACACCTGGAGAACATGCACACACACCTGGAGAACACCCAAACACACCTGGAGAACATGCACACACACCTGGAGAACATGCACACACACCTGGAGAACACCCAAACACACCTGGAGAACATGCACACACACCTGGAGAACATGCACACACACCTGGAGAACACCCAAACACACCTGGAGAACATGCACACACACCTGAACATGCACACACACCTGGAGAACACCCAAACACACCTGGAGAACATGCACACACACCTGGAGAACATGCACACACACCTGGAGAACATGCACACACACCTGGAGAACATGCACACACACCTGGCAGAACATGCACACACACCTGGAGAACATGCACACACACCTGGAGAACATGCACACACACCTGGAGAACACCCAAACACACCTGGAGAACATGCACACACACCTGGAGAACACCCAAACACACCTGGAGAACATGCACACACACCTGGAGAACATGCACACACACCTGAACTGCACACACACCTGAAACATGCACACACACCTGGAGAACATGCACACACACCTGGAGAACATGCACACACACCTGCAGCAAAACTAAAAACACCTGCAGAACATGCAAAAACTAAAAAAAAAAAACTAAGAAACAGTGGGACACAGTGGGACAGTGGGACACAGTGGGACACAGTGGGACAGTGGGACAGTGGGACACAGTGGGACACAGTGGGACACAGTGGGACACAGTGGGACACAGTGGGACACAGTGGGACAGTGGGACAGTGGGACACAGTGGGACAGTGGGACACAGTGGACGGACAGGTGGGACACAGTGGGACACAGTGGGACAGTGGGACACAGTGGACACAGTGGACACAGTGGGACAGTGGGACAGTGGGACACAGTGGGACACAGTGGGACACAGTGGGACAGTGGGACAGTGGGACAGTGGACACAGTGGGAACAGTGGGACACACAGTGGGACACAGTGGGACACAGTGGGACACAGTGGGACACAGTGGGACACAGTGGGACACAGTGGGACACAGTGGGACACAGTGGGACACAGTGGGACACAGTGGGACAGTGGGACACAGTGGGACAGTGGGACAGTGGGACACAGTGGGACACAGTGGGACACAGTGGACAGTGGGACACAGTGGGACACAGTGGGACACAGTGGGACACAGTGGGACACAGTGGGACAGTGGGACAGTGGGACACAGTGGGACACAGTGGGACACAGTGGGGACACAGTGGGACACAGTGGGACACAGTGGGACACAGTGGGACAGTGGGACACAGTGGGACAGTGGGACACAGTTGGGACACAGTGGGACAGTGGGACAGTGGGACGTGGGACAGTGGGACACAGTGGGACACAGTGGGACACAGTGGGACAGTGGGACAGTGGGAACAGTGGGAACAGTGGGACAGTGGGACACAGTGGGACACAGTGACACAGTGGGACACAGTGGGACACAGTGGGACACAGTGGGACACAGTGGGACACAGTGGGACACAGTGGGACAGTGGGACAGTGGACAGTGGGACACACAGTGGGACACAGTGGGACACAGTGGGACAGTGGGACACAGTGGGACACAGTGGGACACAGTGGGACACAGTGGGACAGTGGGACAGTGGGACACAGTGGGACAGTGGGACACACAGTGGGAACACAGTGGGACAGTGGGACACAGTGGGACACAGTGGGACACAGTGGGACACAGTGGGACACAGTGGGACACAGTGGGACACAGTGGGACAGTGGGACACAGTGGGACACAGTGGGACACAGTGGGACAGTGGGACACAGTGGGACACAGTGGGACACAGTGGGACAGTGGGACACAGTGGGACACAGTGGGACACAGTGGGACACAGTGGGACACAGTGGGACAGTGGGACACAGTGGGACACAGTGGGACACGGACACAGTGGGACACAGTGGGACACAGTGGGACACAGTGGGACACAGTGGGACACAGTGGGACACAGTGGGACACAGTGGGACACAGTGGGACACAGTGGGACACAGTGGGACACAGTGGGACACAGTGGGACACAGTGGGACAGTGGGACAGTGGGACACAGTGGGACACAGTGGGACACAGTGGGACACAGTGGGACAGTGGGACACAGTGGGACACAGTGGACACAGTGGGACACACAGTGGGACACAGTGGGACACAGTGGGACAGTGGGACACAGTGGGACACAGTGGGACAGTGGGACAGTGGGACACAGTGGGACACAGTGGGACACAGTGGGACACAGTGGGACACGTGGGACAGTGGGACACAGTGGGACAGTGGACAGGGACACAGTGGGACACAGTGGGAACAGTGTGGACAGTGGGACAGTGGGACGGACAGTGGGACACAGTGGGACACAGTGGGACAGTGGGACACAGTGGGACACAGTGGGACACAGTGGGACAGTGGGACAGTGGGACACACAGTGGGACACAGTGGGACACAGTGGGACAGTGGGACACAGTGGGACACAGTGGGACACAGTGGGACAGTGGGACAGTGGGACACAGTGGGACACAGTGGGACAGTGGGACACAGTGGGACACAGTGGGACACAGTGGGACACAGTGGGACACAGTGGGACACAGTGGGACAGTGGGACAGTGGGACACAGTGGGACACAGTGGGACAGTGGGACAGTGGGACACAGTGGGACAGTGGGACAGTGGGACAGTGGGACAGTGGGACAGTGGGACACAGTGGGACAGTGGGACAGTGGGACACAGTGGGACACAGTGGGACACAGTGGGACAGTGGGACACAGTGGGACAGTGGGACAGTGGGACACAGTGGGACAGTGGGACAGTGGGACACAGTGGGACACAGTGGGACAGTGGGACAGTGGGACAGTGGGACACAGTGGGACACAGTGGGACAGTGGGACAGTGGGACAGTGGGACAGTGGGACAGTGGGACAGTGGGACACAGTGGGACAGTGGGACACAGTGGGACAGTGGGACAGTGGGACACAGTGGGACAGTGGGACACTGGGACAGTGGGACAGTGGGACAGTGGGACAGTGGGACAGTGGGACAGTGGGACAGTGGGACACAGTGGGACAGTGGGACAGTGGGACAGTGGGACAGTGGGACAGTGGGACAGTGGGACACAGTGGGACAGTGGGACACAGTGGGACAGTGGGACACAGTGGGACAGTGGGACAGTGGGACACAGTGGGACAGTGGGACAGTGGGACACAGTGGGACAGTGGGACAGTGGGACGGGACAGTGGGACAGTGGGACAGTGGGACAGTGGGACAGTGGGACACAGTGGGACAGTGGGACAGTGGGACAGTGGGACAGTGGGGACAGTGGGACACAGTGGGACACAGTGGGACACAGTGGGACACACAGTGGGACAGTGGGACACAGTGGGACACAGTGGGACAGTGGGACAGTGGGACAGTGGGACAGTGGGACAGTGGGACAGTGGGACAGTGGGACAGTGGGACAGTGGGACAGTGGGACAGTGGGACAGTGGGACACAGTGGGACAGTGGGACAGTGGGACAGTGGGACAGTGGGACAGTGGGACAGTGGGACAGTGGGACAGTGGGACACAGTGGGACAGTGGGACAGTGGGACACAGTGGGACACAGTGGGACAGTGGGACACAGTGGGACAGTGGACAGTGGGACAGTGGGACAGTGGGACAGTGGGACAGTGGGACAGTGGGACAGTGGGACACAGTGGGCACAGTGGGACAGTGGACACAGTGGGACACAGTGGGACACAGTGGGACAGTGGGACACAGTGGGACAGTGGGACACAGTGGGACAGTGGGACAGTGGGACACAGTGGGACAGCGGGACACAGTGGGACGTGTGTGGGAGTGCGTCTCTCACCGTGTCCTCTGAGGTCCATGGCGAGGACTCGACAGCGCACTCTGCTGGTGATCGCCGTCTGAAACACAGAGTCTGTGCACGTGACCAAAAGGACCAAAAAAAAACCTCTGAATATTATTTTACTTTTTAAACTCTGAAGACAAAAAGACACAAACTCAAAACAGGTGAGTCCAGAACCGTTCCCTAGCAACCAGAATGTAAACAAACAAAGACCAAAACCTCGAAATGATGCAAAAGTTCAGACTCACAAATAAAAGAGCAAAGTTTTATTTAGTCACGTGAAAGTTCAAAAGTCTCATCCTCAAACTGCACTGACCTGATGTAAAACTCATGTCATGTGTGTTTTAAACAGCAGGGGGCGACTCACGGTGAACACGGCCCAGGACAGAGCGGAGTGGCCCCCCCCGTGCAGCAGGACCAGCAGGGGCCCCTGGGAGCCCGACTTATAAACCCGGAACACGTCCCTGCATCGGACGGGCACGGGGGACGACTTATAAACCCGGAACACGTCCCTGCAGTCGGACGCCCCCACGCACACGTCCTCCATCTGCTCGAAGTACACGGCCCACGAGACCGGAGAGAAGTCCGGACGAGCGCCCACCTCCCTGCGACACAAACGCACAACAACACACAACACACAGGTTTAAACACACAACACCACACAACACACACGTTTAAACACACACAACACACACACAACAAACACACAACACACAGGTTTAAACACACAACAAACACACAACAAAACACACAACACACACAACAACACACAACAACACGCACAACAAACACACAACACACACGTTTAAACACACAAAAACACACAAAAACACACAACACACACGTTTAAACACACAATAAACACACAACACACAACACACACAACAACACACAACACACACACAAACACACAACACACACGTTTAAACACACAACAAACACACAACAAACACGTTTAAACACAAAACACACACACAACAAACACACAACACACACGTTTAAACACACAACACACACACACACAACACACAACACACACGTTTAAACACACAACACACACACAACAAACACACAACACACAGGTTTAAACACACAACAAACACACAACAAACACACAACACACATGTTTAAACACACAACAAACACACACGTTTAAACACACAAAAACACACAACAAACACGTTTAAACACACACACACACACACAAACACACACAAACACACGTTTAAACACACAACAAACACACAACACACAGAACAACACACAACAACACGCACAACAAACACAACAAACACACAATACACACGTTTAAACACACACAAACACACACAAAAACACACAACACACATCTTTAAACACACACAACAACACACAACACACACGTTTAAACACAAAACACACACACACCACACACAACAACACACAACAACACACGTTTACACACACACACACACACACAACAAACACACAACACACACACAAAAACACACAAACACACACAACAAACACACAATACACACGTTTAAACACACAAAAACACACAAAAACACACAACACACATGTTTAAACACACAACACACAACACACACGTTTAAACACAAAACACACACAACACCACACAACAACACACAACACACACGTTTAAACACACAACACACACACAACAAACACACAACACACACACAAAAACACACAACAACACACAACAAAAACACAACACACACGTTTAAACACACAACACACACACAACAAACACACAACACACACACAACAACACACACACACACACGTTTAAAACAACACACAAACACACACAACAAACACACAACACACACGTTTAAACACACAACACACAACAACACACACAACACACACGTTTAAACACACAACACACACAACACCACACAACAACACACAACACGCACGTTTAAACACACAACACACACACAACAAACACACAACACACACAACACACATCTTTAAACACACAACAACACACAACACACACGTTTAAACACAAAACACACACAACACCACACAACAACACACAACACGCACGTTTAAACACACAACACACACACAACAAACACACAACACACACAACAAACACACAACACACACACAACAACACACAACACACACGTTTAAACACACAACACACACACACAACAAACACACAACACACACGTTTAAACACAACAACACACACAAAAACACACAACACACACACGTTTAAACACACAACACACACACAAAAACACACAACAAACACACAACACACACGTTTAAACACACAACACACACAAAAACACACAACACACACAACACACACACAACAACACACAACACACACGTTTAAACACACAACAACACACAACAGCAACACTGTACAGAAACACAGAGACTGGAGAGTCGTGTCGAGCGCTCACGACTCAAGTCAAAAGAGACAAAAACTCGAGCAGCTGAGCTGCGTTCAGACCCGAGCGTCAGAGCGTCCACTTCACACAGAGTCCATGTGAACGTGTGTCTGGGGCGTCCACTTCACACAGAGTCCATGTGGACGTGTGTCTGGGGCGTCCACTTCACACAGAGTCCATGTGGACGTGTGTCTGGGGCGTCCACTTCACACAGAGTCCATGTGGACGTGTGTCTGGGGCGTCCACTTCACACAGAGTCCATGTGGACGTGTGTCTGGGGCGTCCACTTCACACAGAGTCCATGTGGACGTGTGTCTGGGGCGTCCACTTCACACAGAGTCCATGTGGACGTGTGTCTGGGGAGTTTTGTGTTTTTGAGGCCGTGTTGATTCCAGATTTGTGTCGGTGCGTCTCGAGCGTTCGGGCGTCGGACGTTCGGGCGTCGGACGTTCGGGCGTCGGACGTTCGGGCGTCGGTGTCAGAAGTTGAAAAAGCTGAACAAATCAGGGACGAGTGTCCAGAGACGCAGAAACGTTCTGACCCCGAAGAAGAAGAAAGAGAAAAACCCAGAACCACAAACACCAGAACAAGAAACTCTGGAGAGAGACATGAGAGGAGAAGAAATATAAAAACAACAACCACCACAACCACGACCACAACCACAACCACGACCACAACCACAACCACCACCCACAAACCACAACCACGACCACAACCACAACCACGACCACACCACGACCACAACCACAACCACGACCACAACCACGACCACAACCACAACCACGACCACAACCACAACCACGACCACAACCACAACCACAACCACAACCACGACCACACGACCACAACCACAACCACAACCACGACCACAACCACGACACCACAACCACGACCACAACCACAACCACCACCACAACCACACCACAACCACACCACGACCACGACCACAACCACAACCACGACCACAACCACAACCACGACCACGACCACAACCACGACCACGACCACGACCACGACCACAACCACAACCACAACCACAACCACCACCACCACCACAACCACGACCACAACCACGACCACACACAACCACAACCACGACCACCACAACCACGACCCACGACCACGACCACGACCACCACCACCACGACCACGACCACGACCACGACCACAACCACGACCACGACCACCACCACGACCACAACCACAACCACGACCACGACCACAACCACACCACCACCACCACAACACAAACACCACCACAACCACAACCACCACCACAACCACAACCACAACCACACCACCACCACACCACACCACCACCACACCACCACCACAACCACAACCACAACCACCACCACAACCACAACCACGACCAACCACCACCACCACCACCGCTCGACTCCACTGAAGAGTTTATGTCAGAAAAACACTCAAGTCACTTTCTCAACCAGGAAAACACGACACTCGCCGACCACAGTGACACCTGCAGGTCCACAGAGTCCAAGAGTCCAAGACGTCCAAGACGTCCAAGACGTCCAAGACGTCCAAGACGTGTGTCAGGGGCGTCTGAATGAAAAATACAGAGACTCCAAATAGTCTGAACAAACCTTTCCAGAGCCCTGCAGACACAGTCCTCTGTGACATGATCCAAACAGATCTTCACTCCGACAGCAGAGTGAAGCCGGAAAACTTCAAACTGGAACTCTATAAACCTCCCCAGACGCTTCCTCCAGTTCTGCTCAGAGACAGACGTCCCTCCAAGTCCTGGTTGAGGCTCCAGATCAGACGTCTGTGTCCCTCACGCTCAGCAGCTCTACTCCGAGCTCCTCCCCCGTCTCTGAGAAAGCCCCGCCCCCTCTGTCCGCCATCGAGTCCTTCAGGTCATCACACAAACGGGTTGGACCAGGGAGCTAAACCAGGTCTAAACCAGGTCTAAACCAGGTCTAAACCAGGACTAAACCAGGACTAAACCAGGACTTAACTAAGTCCTTGAGCAGCCGTCCAGAACAGATCTGAGACTCTAGAGGAAAAATGCTGAGAAGATGGACCTACTGCTCTGTGTCGAAGTTCTCCTCCCACATGGTTCCTCAGGTCACTCAGGTCACAGCTCAGGTCAGGGATGAGGTCCGAGCTCAGGTCAGAGGTCAGAGTCTGGTCCGGGTGCTTCCGCTCTGCAGTCAGGTCCTCGGTTCCTCGGTGCGTCGGTTCCTCGGTGGCGCCTCAGGTCCTCGCGCTGACGGACGACGCAGCGTTTGACCCCGAGGCGCCGGGAGACACCAGGTCCAGGTCCAGGTCAGGTGCAGCTGACAGGAGCAGCTGACAGGAGCATCGTCGGCGCGGCCTCTGATTGGTCGGGAGACGTCAAGAGCAGAACAAACAAACGAGAAACCAGGCTCTTTTACCAGGACGAGGCAGAAATAAAAAAAAACTTAATCACCGAGTTCCTGTGACTGATCAAGATGAATCACGTTAGACACAAAACACAAAAATAAATGTAAAAGCTCTTAAAAGCTTAAAAGCTCTGCACTTTTATTGGAAATGTAAATGAACGTGTGGTACATTTGATGTGCAAACAGCATTTCTTTCTACAGGAGCAGGAAACTCGTCTGTAAAGTTCATGTTTTTAATTCTCCTTTTGAGAATCTCCCTCAAAAAAACTAGAACTTGTGTCTGTAGAGTTTGTCAGACACTAGAATTTAACGTCATGAACTGAAATCAAAAGTAAAGTTCGTGTGATCAACATTTAAAAACAAAAAGAAACAGCAGCAGTAAAATAAAATTCAAGTGTAAATGTCGACTGAAAAAACTGAATCAAAACAAAAAACTGAAACGTATATAAAACACACAACCACAAAACACACAACTACAAAACACACAACCACAAAACACACCACCACAAAACACACAAACACAAAACATAACACACAACAACACAAAACACACACAACACACAACAACACACAACACACACAACCACACAAACACACAACCACAAAACACACAACCACAAAACACACAACCACAAAACACACAACCCAAAAACACACAACCACAAAACACACAACCACAAAAACAAAACACACAACCACAAACACACAAACACACAACACAAAACACACAACCACAAAACACACACACAACACACAACACACACAAAACACACACAACACACACAAACACACAAACACACAACACAAAACCACAACCACAAAACACAAACACAAAACCACAACCAGAAAAACACACAACACAAAAACACACAACCACAAAACACACAACCACAAAACACACAACCACAAAACACACACAAAACAAACACCACAAACACACAACCACAAAACACACAACCAGAAAACACACAACACACACAAAACACACAACCAGAAAACACACAACCACAAAACACACAACCACAAAACACACAACCACAAAACACACAACCACAAAACACACAACACACAAAACACACAAACACAAAACACACAAACACAAAACACACACAACCACAAAACACAACACACACAACAAAACACACAACCACAAAACACACAACCACAAAACACACAACACACAACATAACACACAACCACAAAACACACAAACAAAACACAAACCACAAAAACACACAACAAACAACAACAAAACACACACAAACACAAAACACACAACAAAACACACAACCGCAAAACACACAACCACAAAACACACAACCACCACAAAAACACACAAACACAAAACACACAACCGCAAAACACACAACCACGAAAACACACAACCACAAAACACACAACCACAAAACACACAACAAAACACACAACCACAAAACAGAACACACAATCAGCTAAATTAAAATCACTTAAATGAAAAACATTTGACTTTGAGCAGATTCAACTCGTCCAATAAAATGTGTGTGATTGTGTTGTGTGATTGTGTGATTGTGTTGTGTGATTGTGTGATTGTGTTGTGTGATTGTGTGATTGTGTTGTGTGATTGTGTGATTGTGTTGTGTGATTGTGTGATTGTGTTGTGTGATTGTGTGATTGTGTTGTGTGATTTTGTTTTTTATTTTAACTGCAGTAAGATTAATTTTCATATTTTTAGCATAAAAATTCTTGTTCCTCTGCAGATCATTTTACTTCCAGTGAAATTGACTCAAATATGATCAAAGTTTCTTAATTCACGTCGTCTTAACTTGACTAAATTTTGTTTTTTTGGAGTGTGAAATGGTCGAGATCAGAGATGTTCACACTTTTTCATCATGTGAGCTTCTTACAAAATGACCAAGTCAAAATGATCGACCTAATACAAAGTCAAACAAACTGCACTGAAACACTCTGTGTTCCTTTTTTGGACCCTCCCCCACAGTTTGAGAACCTCTTCTTTAAGAGAACTTCCTCTGGCACTTTACACAAAACTGTGAAAAAAGTGAAGGAAGATTTTTAAACCTGTTTTTTAAAGTTCCAAACTGGAGTTTCATTCTTTTGTGGTTTTGCAGTGATATTTACCAGCCTCTGCACGTTTACCAAACCAAACGCACATCGTGACAAACACAGATGCATTTGTCACTTTTGTTAGACAAACTTCAGCCAAATGTGGCAGTAGGTCTGTTCTGTAGATCCGCTCTATGCTGTAGACCTGCTTTGTGCCAACACTGGAACACAAATTTAGACTGGTTTTTGCTTCACGTTTGGTCTTGTTCTTCTAATCAGCCGCACTGTGGGAGGGGCTTGTGTTGGCTGTACGCAGGAAGGAGCGAGAGCGTGAAAAGGCGAGGGGCGGCGTGCTGACGTGAGGCAGGTGGACAGGTAGGATGTTTAGGAAGTTGAACCTGCCCTGTGATGCACGCTGGTACACGAGGGCACACGCTGTCGCAGACGAGCCGTGCATAGGGAGCGTGTGTGTTTGTGATGCGCCGTAGAGTCTCCGCGGGTTTCAAATGAGCGCACAGGCTGCACTGAGACGCCCCACACGCTCCTGCACCCGCTACAAGTTTATTACCAACAGCAGCGGCCGGAATGAAATATGATCACACTTGTTGAGTGTCAGACCTCGAGTGAGAGACAAGACCGAGTCCAAACGCGAGTCCGAGACGAGACACGGCGATCTACCCACACGACCTTGGAGATCGACTGATAGATCGAGATCGACGTATTGAGCACCACTGGTCCAGATGATTCGACTGAAGGTGTGTGGAAATTAAAAAAAAAACAACTTCATTCTTGATTCTCATTTTGCTTCTTTATCATTATTATTAGTTTGTTCGACTGTAGTGTCACATTTATTTTACTGTAACATCTGTAAATGTTTGTACAGTTCTGTGATCAGAGCACAGAACAAACACACACGTCTGAAACTCTGTCAGGAACAGTGGAGGATTCATACAAGTTTTTCTTCTTCTCGCTCCTTTTCGAGAAATGTGTTTTTCTGTTGTTTATAATGTGTGTGTGTGTGTTTATTATGTGTATATAACGTGTAGATCAACTTGAAATAAAAGTGAAAGAGTCAGTGAAGGTTTGTGAGGAGGAACAGCGTTAGAACCTGGGGAAAGTTCATTTTTGTATTTTACAGAATCTCTGCTCTTTAAAACGTAACGGTACAAATTTTTCTCACTCGTCTCAGGTTTCGATCTCGCAAAGTCGGTGTGTTGAGAAACGAATATTTCCCTCCCTCCATTTTCTAAAATCACATGGTGCAGCATTGTTTTCAAAAAAGTTTTCGTTTACATCGAGTCGCAAAAATCGTCCATCGAGCTCCAACAGAACGACACCACAAACTCAAACTGCAGCTTTTATTTTATTACAGTTGTAAGTTTGACTCACAAACATGTTTAAAATGGTGCATTAGTGAGTGGCTCACCTCTCCACAGATCTGATAAAGCCTCATTGGTCTCTGGTCATGAATCTGAAACATCAGCTGTGTGTAAATGAAACACATGAAAAGTGTTTCAGCAAAAGAAACATCATCATCATCGTCAGAGCAAAAGTGAAACTCTGGTCGCTCTTTTGGCGTCGGCTCCTAAAACTGTTTATTTCACTTCACACACAAACACCAAACCAGAGTTTTACACAAACTTCTCTCTAGACCAGAAGTGTCAAACTCATTTTGTTCCGGGGGTGTGTCCAACCGACTTTGATCCCAAAGTGTCCGGATCAGAAAACTCATGTCATATAAACCCCAAAAATAACAATAAGTTCAAATATTTGTGCAGAGAAACACAAATCTATTACAGAAATGTATTTTAATTGATGAACTCTTTCTTATTATAATATTATAATATTATGAACAACCTGAAACTTTAAGAAAAATACAATTTCAACACAAAGTTTGAACATGAACTTGTCTGTAAACAGAATAAGTCCATTTTTGTTGTAAAATCCTGCACTCGGCTCCACTTTTCTCATGTTGGACATTTTTCTGATGAGGGTGTCACGGTCAACAGTCAAAACGATCGTCCTTTAAGAGCGTTTGGAAAGAGACAAGTCTTCATTTGTGCTGCTCTGGTGGGAGGGGCCACGTACAGAGACGCTGGAGACGCTGCTGTGATAAACACCACACAAAATTAACAACATTTTAATAGAAAATATCATTACAATATTTTAGTAGAAAATCAGCCGAGGGCCAGATTAAAGGTCTTGAGGGGCCGGATCTGGCCCCCGGGCCGTATGTTTGACACCTGTGATCTAGACTGAGTTTTACACAGAGTCGTTTTCAGAGGAGAATTACAGTTTATGTGTAAAAGACGAGAACAAACGAAGGGAAATTTCCCGTGTGTGTATGTGTGTGTATAGGTGTGTGTGTGTACGTGTGTGTGTGTGTGTATGTGTGTGTATAGGTGTGTGTGTGTACGTGTGTGTGTGTATGTGTGTGTATAGGTGTGTGTGTCTGTGTGTACACGTGTGTGTGTGTGTGTATAGGTGTGTGTGTGTGTGTGTGTGTATGTGTGTGTGTGTATATGTGTGTGTATAGGTGTGTGTGTGTACGTGTGTGTGTGTGTGTATATGTGTGTGTGTGTGTGTACGTGTGAACGGGGCCTGACTCACACAGATCGTCTCTTTGTCTCTTCACGTGGACAGTTGTGGGCGGTTGCCGTGGCGATGTCACCTTCACCTGTTTGTGACAAAACAATGAGATCAAATTCTCCCACATTTCTCCGACCGTCCACAGTGACTCCAAACTCCAAATATCACAAAATAAAAAGAAGATTTAAATATAATGAACAGAGGTGAGGCAGAGGAACACAACACAACTCCACACTGCAGAAAAAAGAAAAGATCTAAACACTTAAATCTGTCAGAAAAAGAGTTAAAGTGTTGAAATGATGTGTGATCATCATTTTACTGGACAAGTTCTCTGAAAATAAACGACTGTAGATGAGAAGGAAACGTCTCCGGACCAGTGAGTCAATCAAACTTTATTGCTCCACAAGGGAAGAGACAAGAACGAAAAAAACTAACTCTGACTGGTCCGATAATAACATGATAATAACATGATAATAACATGATAATAACGCGATAATAATGTGATAATAACATGATAATAACATGATAACATGATAATAATGCAATAATAATGTGATAATAACATGATAATAACATGATAATAATGCAATAATAATGTGATAATAACATGATAATAAGATGATAATAACATGAATAATGTACAGAGTTTTTTGCAGAGTTTATTGAAGCACAAACACTTGTGTTCTTCTGTCACTCAGATTCCTCTTTAAGTCTTTGACATAAAAACATTTCTGTGAAAACATCGTCCACCCTTAACCCCTGTCATGAAATGTCCCACAGTGTGACTTTAACTCCGTTTCATTCACATGTTTCAGTAATGCTGAAGATTACAGCTCACAACACTCTGTTACACCTGGTGATGTCATCAGGTGTAATCCCTGAAGCTCTGAAGTCTGTTCCTCCTCTGATTGGACGCTGCGGTGTTACTCCTCCTCTGATTGGACGCTGCAGTGTTATTCCTCCTCTGATTGGACGCTGCGGTGTTACTCCTCCTCTGATTGGACGCTGCAGTGTTATTCCTCCTCTGATTGGACACTGTGGTGTTACTCCTGCTCTGATTGGACGAGCCGGTGCTGCTGGTCGGGGTGGGCGTCGCTCTCGAGCGCCCGCCGGAGGTTTTGCCAGAACACGGCTCTGTGCTGAGACGCCCGGGGCCATCTGAGGTACGAGCGCTTCTTCATCAGGCGTCTCATGCGGTAGTACGGCGACAGTCGCCATGGAGACAACTCCTCCAGAAACACCAGGACGAGGACGTCTTTGTGCTCATCGAACAGACGCACACTGCACACACGAGACGCACACATGAGACGCACACACACGAGACACACACACATGAGACGCACACATGAGACGCACACACACGCACACACATGGACGCACACATGAGACACACAT